CGGAGGACGACGAGTTCCAGATACGCGACGGATTGCTCATCCGCAGAGGGGCCCTCTACGTACCGGGAGACGACCTCCGCGCGAAAGTACTGCAGCAGTTGCACGACGCACCCACCGCCGGGCACTTTGGCAAAGAGAAGACGGTAGAATTAGTAGCCAGAGATTTTGGTGGCCCAAGATGCGGGGGAAGTCGCGGATTACGTCTCGAGGTGCGACACCTGCCAAAGGGCCAAGTCAGTGCACAAACCGCCGGCGGGACTGCTCGAACCGCTGCAGACACCGATCGAACCGTGGGAGAGGGTGGCCCTGGACTTTGTCACGGATCTACCCAGCTCGAGGGGCAAGACGGCAGTGCTAGTGGTGGTGGACATGTTCACCAAAATGGCCCACTTCATTCCGTGCGCGAAGGTGGCCACGGCGGAACAGACCGCCAAACTGTTCATAGACCACGTGTTCAGGGTTCACGGTCTGCCACGGTCTATCCTGTCCGACCGGGGGCGACAGTTCATCTCGAACTTCTGGCAGAAGCTGATGGGTTTCCTGAACGTCAAGATCAACCTAGCGTCGGCGAGACACCCGCAGACGAACGGACAAGCGGAGCGAGTCAACGCCATCATGCAGCAGTACCTGCGATGCTACGCAAATCAGCAGCCGGCAACATGGGTGGACTACCTGCCGCTCGCTGAGTTCGCCTACAACAACACGAAGCACGTGTCCACGGGGGGTGACACCGTTCTTCGCCAACCACGGGAGGCATCCCAGAACCTTCCCGGGATTAGCGAGAGCAGGGGAGGGGAGCCACAGGCAGCGGAAGCCTTAGCATCAGAGTTGCAGGAGGTTCACGAACAGCTTCGGAGGCAGTTAGAACTAGCAAAGCACGCATACAAACTGCAGGCTGACAAGCACAGAAGGGTTGGGGAAGACATACAGGTGGGAGACTGGGTTTGGTTAGCAGCCCAGGCAGTGCCGGCCAGATCGTTAGCGAAGAAGAAGCTAGGGCATAAGCAGCTAGGACCCTACCAAGTCGAGGCACAGGTCAATCCAGTGGCCTTCCGGTTGACACTGCCGGAGGGATCCAGAATGCACCCAGTTTTCCATAGATCAGTGCTCACGCCCTACAAAGCACCTCATAGATTTCAGGAGCCAGGAACGGCACCAGACCCGTTCAGGGAAACGCCCACAAGGGGGGGGTCGCCAAGGCGGGAACCCGTCAACGAAGTCACAGAGATTTTAGACTCGAGATGGGGGGGAGGAGGGAGTGGAATACCTCCTCGCCAAGGAAGGTACCCCGGCTAGCGCCAACAGTTGGGTGCCAGATTATGCTCTGGAGGAATCTTGGCTCAAGGACGAGTTCCATGCACTTTTCCCACACAGGCCCATGCCAGCCGAGTATTTCGACGACTGGCTTTTCACACCCACATTTTCAGCTAGCACATTCCAGGGGTTCACCTCGGACGAGGAACCGGCACTAGAAACACGGTCCCCGGAGGGATCACCCTCGGGGTCTGCCTCAGACCGTTCCTATTGGTGGGACAATCAACCAGAGGAGCAGTGGCGCAGGAAGTGGTTGGGGGGTCCTTGGCAGGCAACGTCCCCGGAGGAGACCGGGGGAGAGACGGACATGGACGTGTGGGGGAGGACCTTGGGTTCGAGCACGGCGGCAAAGAGATGGAAGCAGAGGAAATTGAGGTCGGCGAGAGCACGGAGGACGAGCCGGACTTATCCGGCTGGATGCACGCCACGGGGGACGAACTGTATCCGGCACTCACCCCCACAACGACGGAGCACCCAGTACCCACACCTGAAGGAGGGGAGGGGGAAGGGGGGCTTCGAGGGGGATGGATGTCAGGGGTTCAGGAGCAGAGGCACAGGAAAGGGAGGAAATAGAGAGCGAGGGGGAGGAGTCCGAAGGAAATGTTAGCGATGACAGCGGTCCGAGGTCTCTGAGTCTTTCCAGCGAATCGGAAGATTCACAGAAAGGGGCTCCCTTGGTCAGAGCAAGGGGGTGCCGAGGGGACACCCCAGGAAGAAGGGGCCAGAGGGGACTCAGAGAGCAGCAGTTGGAAATCAGGACCAGCGTCCACACCAGAGTGCAGAAGGGGGGAGGAGTCCCAGGCATCGGGATCAGGCGGCGCACTGCCAGTGGGAGGACATGAGTCAGGATTGGCCACGCCTCCATCGGGGAGCGAGGAAACGGTCGAGAGGAAGGTTGAAGGCTGGGTGCGCGCGCCAAGTTCAAATGTACAGGAGGGCGGCGCAGTTGGCAGCCCGGATAGGGAGCCAGGTCCCAAAGCCCGCCGAAAAGAGGGGGAGGAGTCAGGGGGGTCAGCGTCAGAAGAATCCAGGAAGGAAGGGACCCCGGGGGGTAGCAGGACCCAGAGGAGAAAGGAGAGACGTAAGAGGTGGAGTAAGGCTAGAATCTTAAACTGGTGTACAGGGGGCGGAGACTCAGATGGAGCTTCGCCGATCTAACCCCTAGACGTAGAGCTGGGGCGCTCCGGCTTGAAAATGGAAACTGTACTTCAATAAAGACTTTTGTACATTACTGCCGGCTAGCGTTGGTCCTCTGTGAGCTGGGACCTGGAGCCAGCTCTGACAGGTGGGCCCCCACAAAGTTGAAGGGCATTGCTATTCAAATGGTGTGCATGCACCGTTATCTTCTGATCGTTTATGGAGGGTGGGGCTTACCTGCCCCCCCAATATAATATTAAAATTGGCACCCCTGGGGTGCAGCCAGTGTAGTGCTCTCCAGGTGTTTTTTAGACTACAGCTCTCATCAGCCCCATGGTTAGCTTTAGTCCTCTGCAAGGCACCACGCTAGTGACATTAGAGATATAGGACTGAGGCCTTAGCGTCCCTCATTGGGAGTGAACCACTGCTCAGTGACAGAGAACATGTCTTGTAGGCAGATGTCCCCAGTTTCAATCCCAAACATCTCCTAGCTGAGAGTCGGTATAAGAGAGATGCAGTGATCATGGTAAGGTAAAGGTAAAGGACCCCTGGACAGTTAAGTCCAGTCAAAGGTGACTATGGAATTGTGGCGCTCATCTCGCTTTCAGGCCGAGGGAGCCGGCGTTTGTCCACAGACAGATTTCTGGGTCATGTGGCCAGCATGACTAAACAGCTTCTGGCACAATGGAAAACTGTGACAGAAACCAGACCGCACGGAAACACTGTTTACCTTCCAGCCGCAGTGGTACCTGTTTATCTACTTGCGCTGGCGTGCTTTCAAACTGCTAGGTTGGCAGGAGCTGGGACAGAGCAACAGGAGCTCATCCCATTGTAGGGATTCGAACCGCCGACCTTCTGATCGGCAAGCCCAAGAGGCTCAGTGGTTTAGACCACAGCGCCATAGTACTGGACGAAGATCTGGGAGACCAGCCCTGAAGTTCACTCAGTAACCTGGGCCTATCACTGTTCCTTAGCTAAACTACCTCATGGGGTTATTGTGAGGGCAAAATGAGGAGGGAGAGAACCATTTGTGCCACCTAGAGCTTCTTGGGGAAAGATGGAATGGAAATGTGATAAGTAAATAAATAAGTAAGATTAAATAGCTACAATCCCCTGGCTATGAAGTTAGGGGGTTAAAACAGTTGGGTTATGCACAAGAGCCTTCACACTGTAAGGGAGACAGAGCAGAAAGCAATGAGAGTGACAGCTGACAGAACGAGGAAGCCATTAGCGCCAAAGGGCTATAAGGTGAAAAGGCAAAGTGAAAGTTAGACTATATCTACAGGGACATAGATCCAATCAGTCTAGAAGACTTGTGGGCAGGAAGTGCAGACAGCTGCATTCTCGGTTCTTTAGTGTCAAACAACTTCACCAAGGGAAGAAGGCAAGTGAGAGCTGGTTTTTGATGTTTTCGAGAGAATTGGGGTACGACTGAGACCTGTGGGCGTGTATGCCCCAGTTTGTCTCTGGTCAAATGGACCTTCAGGTTTCTTTCGCACCACAAATGCTTTCAACCCTGCAGACGAAAGATGCAAGAAATGATTGTGTACACTCTAGGCCACAGCTTCATCATACCACCTCTAATTCTCAAAAAAAAAAAAAAGGGGGGGTGTGTGGAACATCTTGGAATGTCAATGTTATTAAACTTACTTTTTTGGTAGTTGTGTATTTATTTATTGTTTGTTTGTTTGTTTATATGTATCAACTTGACAAATTTAAATTAAAGACACAACCAACTGTCTCCAGAATCATGTATCGCACACAAATGTGTGCATTCACGTGCACACTCTATCTTCCATCTGTCTACTCCATCTTGATCCATGTTTGGGCCTCGCCTTCTTCACATTTCCTTCCTCCTGAGAGAGAATCACATTGCTTCCATTCATCCCTTCTTTGCCACAAAGCAATTCCCAAACAAACCCAGTTCAATGCTCATGGGTCTCTGTTGGGGAATCGGGTTGTCTGAATCGGGTCAGCAAGGTTTACCTCACCTGGGCTGGTTCACTGCAGCGGAGATCCCTCTGTGGGCCTGATTACACACATGCCCGCGATTTCCGGTGTTTGTGTCTGCATAGGTGTGATTTGTGGCGTCTGTGTCTGCGCAGACACAATATCCAGCACCATGGAAGTGAGTCCCCCCGCCACGCTGTGCCATTTTAGCGCAGCGCACGGGGACTTGCCGAGCAGGCGGCTCGGTTCAGGGGCGGCTTGTGGGCCAGTTAAACAACCCCTGTGGGCCGCTTGTGGCCCATGGGCCTTAGGTTGCTGACTCCTGGTCTGGATGAAGAGGAGTGTGGGGAGACAGCAGCTGGGAACCCCAAGGGAAACCCCAGCGGAAGAAGGCTCAGAGCCAGGGGATTGGTGGTAGGACACTGAGGAAAGGTCAGAAGGCAGGGGCGGTAACTAGGAACTATAAGGAGCTCTGGGTGTCAGAGCCCCCACAAAAATGTTTGTTGTGGGTGCTCAGCACCCACAACACAGGGCCCCCGACACAACTTCTGGTGCCTCACAAAGCACTGGAAGTCACATCCGAGGCCTTGCGAGACCTCAGAGGTGCTCTCTGAGGCCTTGCGAGACCTCAGAACCTGAATTTCGGTGGCACCAAAAGTCAGGTTCTGAGGTCTCGCAAGGTCTCAGAAAGTGTCTCTGGGGCCTCACAAGACCTCGGGGATGCTTCCCAAGTTTTCACGAGGTCTCGGAACCTGACTTCCAGTGGCACGGGAAGTCAGGTTCCAAGGCCAGGGGCATGTGCGACCTCATGATGTCACCGCACAACGTGACATCATGACATCACACGCACTGAGCACCCATTACCTGGGGGCCAAGTAGGCTCTCCTGTCAGAGGGAGAAGATTGGGAGGAGGGTCAGGATTCTGCACTACAGGCGCAAGTCTAGCTGGGCAGTGCTGCTGAGCTGCATGCTGTTTCCTTGAAAAAAGAGTTAACTTCATGGACAAACTGCCTCCAGACCAGGGGCAGGCAACCTAAGGCCTGGGGGCCAGATGCGGCCCAATCACCTTCTCAATCCGGCCCACGGTCGGTCCAGGAATCAGTGTGTTTTTACATGAGTAGAATGTGTGCTTTTATTTAAAATGCATCTCTGGGTTATTTGTGGGGCATAGGAATTCATTATTATTTTTCAAAATATAGACTGGCCCACCACATGGTCTGAGGGACGGTGGACCGGCCCCTGCTGAAAAAGCTTGCTGACCCCTACTCCAGACTGTCAGTGCTTAGCAGGAAAGATTCAAGCACCTACTAAGAAACCTTGGTTTGTGCAATCAAAGCAGATGAAAGCACACAGCTGATATAGCGCAACAAATCCATTTTTTAAAAAAGAAGCAGACTTTTGTGGTTAGGAAAGTGGCATAGAAATGCATTGAAAAGTATGGTGTTAATCATAATTAACAGGAAGATGTATAACGACCTCGGGATGGATCTCGTTGCATATTTACAGCATAAGCAGTAATAAAAGATGAAAGATGTACCGGAATCAGATGTACTGTCCAAAATGAGCATTGGGATGTGATTGTTCATCTGGAGGAGGAACAGGAAAGTATGTTCACTATTCAAAATATTATTATTATTTGTTTATTACGTTGATAGTTGGGAACATTCTGCAGGCAGCCAAGGAACAAAGGACAGGCTGGAATCGCCCCGGCCTCTCTCTCCCTCTTAAAAATATGCCCACTCCTTTCTGTGCTTGCATATTTGGAAACCTAAGCATATTTTCCACGAGGTTTCTCAAGTTTGGCAGGCCCGACGAATTCCGTTGACAAGCACATTTCACAAGTTCTTGACATCTCTTTGCATAGCACCTCTTCACCCGAGACGCAGCGCTTGCGGGCTCCATCAGCACAGGAGCAGATCTGTTTGTTAAAACCTTGCTCACTAAATGGCGGGGCATCTTATTTAAGCCACTGGCAGAGCAATCCTGGACATGTCTACTCAGAGCAGGGAGTCTCCTTCAGCTCAGTGGTAAAAGGTAGGGTTTCAGTTTCGCATTCTCCCAAACGTATGTTCGTTTCTACACATTTCCTTATCAGTTTAAGGGGGTGTGCATAAAAATTCCATATTTTCGTGCAAATTTCTCCTAACATACACATTTTTTGCATGCATTTCCCCTATTATAATATATTTTTGCATATTCTTGTCATTAATATGAGCATTTTCACAGCAGAACATATTCTTTTCTACTGTCCATTGTATAATCAGATTCTATCCAGAAGTAACTGCAAAGGTTTGTTGTTTAGTCGTTTAGTCGTATCCGACTCTTCATGACCCCATGGACTAAAGCACGCCAGGCACTCCTGTCTTCCACTGCCTCCCGCAGTTTGGTCAAACTCATGCTGGTTGCTTCAAGAACACTGTCCAACCATCTCGTCCTCTGTCGTCCCCTTCTCCTTGTGCCCTCCATCTTTCCCAACATCAGGGTCTTTTCCAGGGAGTCTTCTCTTCTCATGAGGTGGCCAAAGTACTGGAGTCTCAGCTTCACAATCTGTCCTTCCAGTGAGCACTTGGGGCTGATTTCCTTTAGAATGGATAGGTTTGATCTTCTTGCAGTCCATGGGACTCTCAAGAGTCTCCTCCAGCACCATAATTCAAAAGCATCAATTCTTCAGCGATCAGCCTTCCTTATGGTCCAGCTCTCACTTCAAACTGCAAAGGTAGCTGAGTTTTTATCAATAGTATCTCCCAGAGTCCTGAATGGCACTATTTAGCAGGAAGAAAATCCTCGTTATCGCATATTTTTACATGGCTGTTTTTTTGTCTATAATTAAAAAAATTATATATGGATGTTTTATGATGGTCTATATTTGTAATGCCTAAGAAAGGTTTAGTGAAGTAAGTACCTGTATAAGCATCTATGCATACACCATTATATGCATTTTTCGGCACACGTTACTTAGCTAGAGATCTGCATTGCAAAAAGAAGAATGCATATCAAAGAATGGCTGGGATTTCAGTTCACTTCTTGTTTCAGAAAATGGAAGCTCACCTTTAAATGTGAACAGAATCAAATGTCTGCCCCATCCCAACGCCCAGTTTAAGCAAGTATAGGATTGCAACCAGTGTATTGTTAAAACTAAATGAAATTCGCTCCCATTCGTCATCCTTGACATATTTATTTACACTGCACGTAATAATGACAATATGCAATTGCAATGTTGGCCCTGTTGAGAGCTTGAAATTATGGCAAAATAAACATGTCATTCTTTGAAAGGCTGGTATAGGAGGGGTAAGTAACTGAGCCTTGGAAATGGAAACCCCAGACTGCCAATTTGCAGCCTGCAAGCTTCTGCCTGGTGAATTTTCTGCTCTATGAAACTCCTCTCCCTCTCCCTCTCCCTCCCTCCCTCTCTCTCTCTCTCTCTCTCTCTCTCTCTCTCACACACACACACACACACACACACACTAGCCTGTTTAAAGCTTCTGTTTAAGGAGAACTTCTGTTTTAAGGTTTGCACAGATGGCCCCTTGGACTTTTGCTCAAGTGCATCGAAATAGATAACAAATTGTTCCAAGCCATGCCCTAAAAATGCACTTATCTTATTTGTCCAGTCTTAAGGGGAAACTGACCCGAAAGGTTGTGACATCACAACTTTGTTGGGTCGTCTCTCCCCGATAGTGCTGTGGAAATAACGGCCACCATTCCTTCTTCACCCAGGTGCGGAGAATCCATTTAATACAATTTATGGCGCTGAATTAATTTTCACGACAGGGACAATTAATCATAGGGACCAGGTACTTTTCTCCAGGACGGAGAGCCATTCCAATATTGTTTTAATACTTACCTTAACCTCTCTAGATTAGGCAGGGAGTACGCAGTGGAAGAGTTTAACACAGATCCATACTCATAAATAATTTTCCCCAGGCATCAACAAGAATGTGTGGCAGTCTGTGAATCATATTTTCCTAACGCTCCACAGAAAGGGAGAAGTGAGACTTGGCTTCCAGTCTCTCGCTGGAATTCAGTGGTATCTCCTGCCATCTACTGAAAGTGCAGAGGCAAGCGAATGTGGATTTTCCCCTCTCTCTTTCCTAATTCATTCATTAGCAGGATCAGTTCAATTATTATTAGATTTTGGCAAAATGTCATGAACATCCCAATCAAGCAGAAATCCATTCTGCTTTGGTTTTGATTTATTTATTCTTTACTTTTTGTAGCTCTCATTTGCTCAGTGCTATTCCTTAATATCTTTTTTTCAAAGTTTTTATTTGTACTTTTCAAGTTTATGCATTTCATTAGTTTTACAATCAACTTAACATTTCAAAATTTGACTTCCTTTCTCCTCTTTCTGCGGTTCCTTAATTTTTTTTATTTTAATATCTTCTCCATATCCATATTCATTTAACTTGCTCATTTAATTATCTACTGTAAATATATACCCTCGTGAAACTGCAGGTTATTACAATAATCCTGCTAATGTTTTTATCTGTTTACAATTTATCTGTATATATTCAATAAACCATTTCCATTCTTTTATAAAAAGTTTGCTATCTTGATTTCTGATTCTTCTGGTAAGTTTTGCCATTTTCTGCATATTCCATAAGTTTTTGTATCCATTCTTCCTTTGCTGGGACTTCTGCTTCTTTCCACTTTGGGTCAGCAATATCAAAAGCAACACGATGGCCAGAAACAATTACAACATGAGAAACTTTATGGAATAATTCAAAACATCAAAACTAACAAACTGAAGTCTCTGAAAGTCCTTAAATGAATCAAGGTGCCAGATTTTACCCGGCGGAGAACAAGCTGTGAAGCTTTGTATAATCAGCAAATGTCCAATTCTGATGTCCAGCTCTGAATAGCGTTTCCAGATAACAATTACTGTTTCGTTGAATTCTTCATCAGCCAATTAGTTCAACACTCGTAAGGAGAAAGATATTCATTAACTGAAAATAAAATATTCAGATGATGACCTGCACATGCATAACAACAACTTCAAGCAGCGTAGAAATTATAAACTGTAACATAAAAAAGTTACATACCCAATCTTTTTCCGAATAGATATAATATACATGAGAATGAAAAATACTCTGGAACAGTGCTCATGCGATTATGTAGTCACTGTTACTAACAACATTTAAAAAATATATATATATAGCCAACCCCAGGTGATACTAATAACAAGGAGACCGAGTTTAAAGACACAGTACAAAGTAACAGCAAAGTTACTTTTATAAAAGTTATTTTGAACTTTTTATTATTTTTAGTTATTTTTAGTTCATTGTATATCTTTTCCCAATAAGCTTTAACCTTACTACAAGACCACCACACATGATAAAAAGAACCTTCTTTCTCTTTACATTTCCAACACTTATTCGTTTTAGATTTATACATTTTTGCCAGTTTCCTCGGTGTTAGATACCAATGATATATCATTTTCATATAACTGTTTCTTAAACCATAACATGCTGTAAATTTTATATCCATATTCCACAATCATTCCCATGCTTCCATATCTATATTATGACCCATATCTATTTCCCAGTGTATCACTGAGGATTTTACTTGATCATCCTTTGTCTCCCATTCCAATAAGTCCACGCAAAAAGTCCATAAGAAATTTCCAATCCTTAACAAATGTCCGTAATGATTTCCCTCTAATTCAACATATTAACTTTGCCATTTTAGACAATTCCAGTAGTCAGTCAATTCCCGCAGTGTAACTCTCAGAAATTTCAAAGGGACGTAGTTATGAGATGCACACATGATTGCTGACCCAAAGTCATGTTTTCTAAGGAGCAATTTCTACCAAAATCAAATGAAGCTTACTGCTGAGTCTGCTCCTCCAAGTAGATCCCTGTCCAGCCTTATTTTGAAAGCCTCCAAGGGATGATCATAAAGTCAATTAACACCCTGTCCAACACCTTAAAATACCATGGGCACGCAAGTTGGATCCTCCTAACAGTGGGTCCATGTTGTGCTCAGCCCTGAAACTCTTCCCTAACCAGCTTGTGGGCGGGGCTTGCCCCACTCCAAGCCGGTGGTGCCACAGTTATGCCAATGGCCTTTAGCCAATCAGCAGCATGGCAAGCTTGGGGGTATCTATTTGGCAGCGCAACGTAGGGACCTCCTTTTGCTTCGCGCTGCCAAACACCCGCCCACCCACCTGTTAATTAGGTCGTGTCTGGCCTTGCTTTGGACTTCGGTGGGTCGCCTGTTTTGGAATGGGGGCCAGGTGGGGATTTTTTCCAATGTGGCAGATTGGCTGTGGCCACTTGGTTTTTGCCTACCTCTTAGCAATCATCACAACTTTGTAAGGTTGGTGGTTAGACATTGGTTTAGGGGAATCTGGGGAGGGGAGGTGCGGCCATCACCTGCCCCTCCATTTGATAGGGTATTCCGTTAAATGAATCCGGGGGTCTGGATCTCGTCCGAAGCCCAGGGAGGGGCTAGGGCCATGCCAGGACCCCTGAAAACCCCAGGGGTGAGCACCAGTCAATATACACTGACGGAGATCCCCTTGCTGGTTATTTACCCTTCCAGGCTTCCTGCAGGGTGGGGCAGGAGCCAGATATAGTTTGATACCAATGCCTAAGCCAATACCAGTCACATTTGTGTATTTTAATAAAGTTGTGGCTAAAATTTGCCCATTAACATTCAAACTAAATTCTGTCTCCACTGTGTCTTTATTTCCATTCGGGATGGGTTTTGGGGCTCGAAGCACAATGAAGTTTTGCAGAACTATGTTGATGCTGACTCATGTTCAGCTTGAGCCAGACCAATTGTCACCCTGGCAGTTTGTCCTAGCAATCCACTCGCAGCCTCCAGAATTTCACTGGCTCGGTTGGAATTTCACCCACCTGGCCTGTTCCCAGATCTGGAGGATGTAAATTCAGGAACAAAAATGTGTGTTTGGTGTTTTCGTTACCAGTGCACAGGCTGTTAACAGGCTTGGAACCTTCATTGGAAAGAGTGCTTCTATTTAAGGTTTGTGCACATGGCCTCTGATCTAGATCCCCACGGATCATACAATAAAACAGCGGACCTTTGCAGAAGCTCTCTGTACATGCCCAGAGGCAGTTCATTCTTGCATCGAGGAAGAAGCAGCAACAGAAAACAACAGTATTCTTGCAGATGCTGAGATACAGCCAGTCTGTTAATACCAAATATATATATATAACAATTCATATTGTATCCTTTATTGTTCATTTATGTATTTATTGAATTTCTACACCACCCTTCATCCTAGGATCACGAGACAATTTACAGTATAAAAACTGAAAAATACATAACATAGTAACAAACAAAAACAACAGCCCCCTTCCCCCGCCGCCTAATGGTTTAAATGGCCATCATGCATGGGAGCTTTTGAATGTTTTAGCTTCTATTTTTCTTTCTGTTTGTTCGTTTTATTTTTGAAAACTCGTCCTACTCTTGTGCAGATCAGAGGCTTCCAGGGCTGTCTGTTACATTACAGTTTGAAAGCGGCGGGGGGGGGGGGGAGTTCGTGGCACATTTGGCATTTACTTTTTGCAGCTTTCTCTCATGTGATCTGCATTGCTCTGTGACTCACCCAGTCTTCCACGTGGGCTGGCTTGCAACTGTCCCGAAAAACTCTCTCTGCATGCATGCCTTCAGAGTGTGGTCTCAAACCCTCCGACTGTCCCTATCCTCCAGGGACAGTCCCGGATTTGCAGAAGCCGTACCAGTTCCTGATTTCATCCCAGGATATCTCGCTTTCCCTTAGAATGTCCCTATTAAAGAAATGTTTGAGGGCATGGAGTTATGTGACACCCCCCCCAAACCAAGGAGATAAGTACAGTCAAACCTCTTCTTATGTCCGCCTCCGCTTGCGTCCATTTCACCCAACGTCCGCAGCAAACCCAGCAGTAACTGGCGGGTTTGCCACCAGTCGCACATGTGCAGGAGCAGCGATCGCCATTCGCGCATGCGCACAACGGCACCTCTCCCAGCAACCTGTTTCGACCTCCGGATGGACCTCCGGAACGGATTATGGTTGCAGGTAGAGGTTCCACTGTAACTACAATTTCTAGAAGACATTTGAAGGCAGCCCCGTAGAGGGAAGTTTTAAAATGTTTTATTATGTTTTGATATATGTTGGAAGCTGCCCAGAGTGGCTGGGGCGTCCCAGTCAGATGGGCAGGTAATAATAATAATAATAATAATAATAATAATAATAATAATAATAGAAGAACAGGACGTCCCTATTTCCATCAAAAAAATGTCATGCCACACTAAGGCATAGTAAGGGAGGCGGGTGGTGCTGTGGTCTAAACCACTGAGCCTCTTGGGATTGCTGATCAGAAGGTTGCGGTTCGAATCCCCACGACGGGGTGAGCTCCCGTTGCTCTGTCCCAGCTCCTGCCAACCTAGCAGTTTGAAAGCACACCAGTGAAAGTAGTTAAATAGGTACCACTGCGGCAAGCAGGTAAAAGGTGTTTCTCTGAGCTCTGGCTTCCATCACCAGTCCTGCTGGCCACATGACCCAGAAAGCTGTCTGTGGACAAATGCTGGCTCCCTTGGCCTGAATGCGAGATGAGCGCTGCAACCCCATAGTCACCTATGACTGTACTTAACCGTCCAGGGGTTCTTTATCTTTACCTTTTACCTTAGACAGAACTATTAAGTGTAACTTCTTTTCTAGCCTGTTGGTGCCACTGAAAAATTAGACTCATGTCATCGCATACAACCTATAAGCACTGAGACGGCAGAAACCCATGTAGACACTTGTCAAAATTGCTAGTTGCAGTTGACTACAGTTTCTGTCAGACATGCATGCAGTGGAAAACCTGCTAGTTGACCGTTGTACAGAAGAAATGCCTTGTGTGAAATGTGTGAAGGAATGTTGGACGTGACTTTAAGAAAAACATTTCTGAATCAGCTGCACCCACATTCGGACGGAATCCACTGCACTTGTTCATGTTTTCCCCACTGCTAAAATTTGCTCTGCGTTTAGATGTTCCTTTTGCGATAAGAGTTGGCGCAACGCGTGCCTATCGAAGTCTGCCCAGCTACACCTTGGGAGGAATTTGACCTCCTCTTTCAGGGTCAAAGAACATTAACAGTAGCAAGGGATGAGTCATATCCCATACATCCTGATATTTCGTGCTGGTTAGTGGAATGCTGTCCTAATCATATAGCTTTTTTGGGCTCGGCTGTCTCTCTCTCTCACACACACACACACACACACACATACACAGCCATGCTGCAACTTACAGCCGCCAGCCCTCAGATAGTTCTGTCAATGCAAGATGCACCAAAAATTACCTAACTGCCAAATTATTGGAGTACTACAATATATCCAAAACAATGGGAGAAATTGGAAGGATCTCAAAAGAGAAGATAGACAGAGACTGGAAGATGTTTAATGGATACTTGCAAAACCATATTGAAAAATCAGAACTCCTATTAGAGTAAACAAGTTCCGTTTTAAATACTGGAATACTAAATAAGGTGGATAACAATGTGTAATAGAAAAGAAGCAAGAAATTAGGTTAAAGGTGTGTGAAAGAAAGTAATAGAAGTGGAAAGAAATTGCAGTTGAGTAGATTGGAAGTCTAACACAAAGGTGGGGTGAGGGGTGGTGGATGGTGATGGGAAAAGGAATTATCTGTGGGATTGAGTGTAGGTATGTTTGAACATTTTTAAGGACTGTATGAAATGTATGTTTGTATATTCGCAATATGTGTGTATTAATGCTGAATTATTTTAACAATAAAAACTTTTCCAAAAAGAATTACCTAACTGTGCACTACAGAAGCACCTTTGTTGCACGAAACAAGACTAGGGCAGAGCTGGAAGTGGGGTGCTTTCAGGAGCACATTTGGCAGTAGTGAAAAACTTGGCCGCTTTTGGTGATGTTCCGGGGTTTGCGGCAAAAGTGGCGTAAAAGTATGCACCCATGAAGCCACTTTCAAGTAAGGGCTGGGATCACCTATGTGACCAGGGCAGGAATCATTGCCCTCACTCTTAGTGACCTTCGCTTGCTCTCAGTGATGTCGTCGCATAGTCAAATGTGATAGGCTACATAGCATTGTGGTGTCATGTTCACTATAAGCTCTCTGATTGGTAGGGATCATACTGTGAATGAAAAAGAACCACTATTTGAAGAGGGGGGTGTGGGTAGGAATGTCATTGAAGCAGCAGCAGATATGAATAAGTACAAGGGGTAAATATGAATGCAGTGGTACCTCGGGTTAAGTACTTAATTTGTTCCAGAGGTCCGTACTTAACCAGAAACTGTTCTTAACCTGAAGCACCACTTTAGCTAATGGAGCCTCCTGCTGCTGCCGTGCCACCGGAGCACAATTTCTGTTCTCATCCTGAAGCAAAGTTTTTAACCTGAAGCAATATTTCTGGGTTAACGGAGTCTGTAACCTGAAGCGTATGTAACCCGAGGTACCACTGTATCTGAAGAAGCTGATGGAAGAAAAGGGCAAATAAAATGATTGAGGCGATGCAGAAACTCCCCTATGAGGAAAGGTCAGTGGCTTTAAAATTTCAGTGGGGCCTTGACAACACCCACCACCCCTTCTGTTTTTTGTCAATATTGTAGTACCCCCCATAGTGCCCTCTCAGCTTGGCATCCAGTCGTGCCCCTCTAAATCCGCCTCTGGGAAAGGTTGCCAAATTCAGGGCTTTTTGGTTTAGAGAAAAGGCATGTGTGAGGTGAAATGACAGAAGAGTACAAAAGTATGCATTTTATGGAGAGAGTGGTTGGGACAGGGATCCCTCCCTCTCTCATGACACTGGAATTCGGGAACATCCAAAGCAGCTGAACGTTGGACAGACAAATGGAAGTAATTACTTAAAGGTAAAGGTAAAGGACCATTAGATCCAGTTGTGACCGACTCTGGGGTTGCGGTGCTCATCTCGCTTTATTGGCCGAGGGAGCCGGCGTACAGCTTCCGGGTCATGTGGCCAGCATGACTAAGCCCCTTCTGGCGAACCAGAGCAGTGCACGGAAACGCCGTTTACCTTCCCGCCAGAGCGGTACCTATTTATCTACTTGCACTTTGAGGTGCTTTCGAACTGCTAGGTTGGCAGGAGCAGGGACGGAACAACGGGAGCTCACCCGTCGCAGGGATTTGAACCGCCGACCTTCCGATCGGCAAGTCCTAGGCTCCGTGGTTTAACCCACAGCGCCACCCGCATCCCTAAGTAATTACTTATCCAGAGCATATTTAAACTATGGAGATCGCTCCCACACGCGGTAGAGATGACCACCAACTTGGATGGCTTTAAAAGAGGATTTGATAACTACATGTAGGATAAGGCTCTCCTTATTAGTCATGTGGACTACTAGTCATGGGAAGTGTGGCGCTGTGGTCCAAACCACTGAGCCCCTTGGGCTTGCTGATCAGAAGGCCGGGGGGTTCGAATCTCCACAACAGTGTGAACTCCCGTTGCTCTGTCCCAGCTCCTGTCAACCTAGCAGTTCAAAAGCATACCAACGTGAGTAGATAAATAGGTACCACTGCAGTGGGAAGGTGGACGGCGTTTCCATGTGCTCTGGTTTCCGTTACGGTGTCCCGTTGTGCCAGAAGCAGTTTAGTCATGCTGGCCACATGACCCGGAAAACTGTCTGTGGACAAATGCCGGCTCCCTTGGCCTGAAAGGGAGATGAGAGCTGCAACCCCATAGTTGCTTTTGACTGGACTTAACCGTCCAGGGGTCCTTTACCTTTTTACATTTTACTAGTCATGATGGCTAAATCCAGGGCTTTTTTTCCAGCCGGAACTCACCCACCAGAACCCAGTTCCAGCACCTCTCAGGTGGTGCTATTGCAAATCTAAGAGAACAAGGGAGGCTTCGTGGTGAGTTCCAGTACCTCTTTTTCAAGAAAAATAGCACTGCCTAAATTGTACCTCCACGGTCAGAGTCAGTATGCTCCAGCCACAGCTGGAGAGAGTGCCCTTATGCTCCTGTATTGCTTGCAAGCTTCTGATTGGCCATTGTGAAAACAGGAATCTGGGCCAAATGAGTCACTTGACCCAATCCTGCAAGGCTCTTTTTACATTCTTAGGCAGGAACAAAAAAGCACACATTTTACAGCAGAAATGTCCACAGTGCAACCCAGCATAATATGCCATCTGTTCTCTTATTGATTTAAAAGGCAGGTTTCTATTATGTTTGACTTGCCGGCGCATAACTGATGTTTCTCAAAACAGGATTCTCGTCAGGTCAGAAAGCCCATCATCTTGAGAGAGCCATTGAAGGTTATTAGACAAGCAAGCAGGCCCTCCATCATCTGATCCATTCAGGTCACAGCCCAATCAGGAGGCGTCACAGGTAACAGTGTGACTCTGGGAGCCAATGAGAACGGCTGTCTTTACTTTGGGCCACATACCTGAATAAGCAACTGCAAGTGACCATCTAGGGAAGAACTTTACGCAGGGACGCATTTTCACTGCGCTGATAGAAAAGTGCTGCTCTGGGACACAATGTTCTAATGCTCAGAGGAAGCGGGAGGGAAGTGTGGGAAAGTGGTTAGAGCCTGGGAGACAGGGATTCAAATTCCCACTCAGCCATGAAGGTCACCGGGTGACCTTGGGCCACTCCCTTCATCTCAGCTTAATCTACCCCAGAGAGTTGTTATGGGGAGGAGGAGGTGCACGTCACTGTGGAAGCTGCCTTATACAGAGTCAGACCACTGATCTATCCAGCTCTGTACCGTCTACACGGAAGACTGATCCATACTTTGGCTTGTCCCACCGCTTTTCCCCAGAGAAAACCCACTGAATCGGTGCAAATGTCAATTAGCCCCAATGGATCAACATCCGCTGCTTATTGCCTTGGTTTGCCAGTAGCAACCATTGCCACTGTAATAATAAAAACAGCAACAACAACAACAATTTTATTATTTATATGCCGCCCGTCTGACTGGGTTTCCCCAGCCACTCTGGGCGGCTCCCAACAAAATATAAAAAACATAGTAAAACATCAACCATTAAAAACGTCCCTGAAGCCTTCAGATGTCTTCCAAAGTCAAATAGTTGTTTCTCTGTTTGACATCTGAGAGGAGAGCGTTTCACAAGGCGGGCGCCACTGCCCTCTGCCTGGTTCCCTGCAGCTTCACGTCTCATAGTGAGGGAACCACCAGAAGGCCCTCAGAGCTGGACCTCCGTGTCTGGGCTGACATGAAGAACTGCATGCAGCAGCTCCGACGTTCTCATCACTTTCCTCAGGTCATGGAGGGAGATGGCAAGAAATCAACAGGAGCCCTGCCAAGGACTGCAGGGTTTGGCGAGAGGTTCGGAATCTTCCAAGGCAAACAGAAAACCACTTGGAACAGTGCCTAAAAAGCATGGGACAAGCAAAAGAAAAAAGAAAAGAAGAAACCCTGCTCAAACCCGTGCTTTCTAGGCACAGAATAAGCAGAAGTGTGGATGAACTCTGCGTGGCAGCAGATCTCCAGGGGATGTTGCCAGCCCTGCCAGGAGGTGGTAGAGACTGGATATTGAATGTGGAGCCCTCTGCAAGCAAAGCAGATGATCTGACAGTAGGCAAGGGTGCTTCTTCTTTGTAGCAAAACAAAGGATGGCTTTCTAATGATGAGATATGCAAAAGGTTCTGCTGAAGTCCAATTAAATAGCAAAGGCAGGTGGGCAAGGGAAGGCAGCCCAGGCTCAAATGCTCGGATGCCAGAAAGCCAATGTTCATAATCCGGGTCAGTGTATAATAATCCAGATGCAATCATCATCATTGTTCTGCCAGGATGCTGAGGTCCAGCGCCAAGGGCCTTCTGGCAGTTCCCTTGCTGAGAGAAGCAAAGCTACAGGCAACCAGGCAGAGGGCCTTCTCGGTAGTGGCGCCTGCCCTGTGGAACACCCTCCCATCAGATGTCAAGGAAATAAACAACTACCTGACATTTAGAAGACATCTGAAGGCAGCCCTGTGCAGGGAAGCTTTTAAAGTGTGACATTTTAATGTATTTTTAATCTTTGTTGGAAGCCGCCCAGAGTGGCTGGGGAAACCGAGGCAGATGGGCGGGGTACAAGTAATAAATTATTATTATTGTTATTATTATTATTATTATTATTATTATTATTATTATTTTATACCCCGCCCATCTGGCTGGGTTTCCCAAGCCACTCTGGGCAGCTCCCAACAGAACATTAACAACACGGTAGATCAAACATTAAGAACTTCCCTAAACAGGGCTGCCTTCCAGATGTCTTCTAAAAGTCAGATAGTTGTTCATCTCCTTGACATCTGCTGCGAGGGCGTTCCACAGAGCAGGCACCACTACTGAGAAGGCCCTCTGCCTCGTTCCTTGTAACCTCCCTTCTTGAAGTGAGGGAACTGCCAGAAGGCCCTTGGAACTGGACCTCAGTGTCCAGGCTGAACGATGGGGGTAGAGATGCTCTTTCAGGGCCACAGCTGTTTCGGGCTTTAAAGGTCAGTAGCAACACTTTGAATTATGCTCAGAAACATACCGGGAGCCAATGTAGGTCTTTCAGAACCAGTGTTATATGGTCTCGGGGGCCGCTCCCAGTCACCTTAGCTCATTCTAACCTTAGATAATTTTATGCTTTCGAGGGGAAATGTCTGAAGCTGACTAAGCTCACAGTGAATTGCGCATGTATCCCCTGCTGAAAGTGGTGCGCTCCCTGGCTGTCCATTTTTTCAGGAGCTAGATTCGAGATTTTGCTACTGCTGTACAAAGGAAATCCCATACGGATTTAGATTGGGGCTATTTGAAAAGCCAGCTGCCCCCCCCCCAATCTTTCCTCGCCCCTTTAGATCTGTGGATGAAGAGCTGTTGATGGAACCGCATCCCCATGCACTAAAGCATGCTCTGACGCAAACATGTGTTTTTTCGAGCACTGTGGCACCAGGAATTCCATACCCTCCAACATTTCTCCAATGAAAATAGGGACATCCCATTCCATAATGATAATTTTACTTTTTATACCCCACACATCTTACTGGGTTGCCCCCGCCACTCTGGGCAACTTCCAACATATATCAAAACATAATAAAATGATAAACATAAAACAAACCTTCCTTATACAGTATTGCTTTCACCCAGCTTGGGAGTTGGATAACTCCATACCCTCCAAAATTTCTCTGATGAAAATAGGGACGTCCTGAGGAAAAGCAGGACTTTTCAGGATCAAATCAGAAACCAGGACAGCTTCTCTAAATCAGGGACGTCCCTGGAAAATGGGGATTCTTGGAGGGTCTAGAATTCTCTTTCCTAAGGCTGTGTGACTTTAAAGCGTATTTGAAGCACATTCTCTCCCTCAAAGAATTATGGGCACTGTAGTTTCTTAAGGGCTGCTGGGAAATGTAACTCAGTGAGGGGTAAACTACACAGCCCAGAATTCTTTTTTTAGAAAGAATGTGATTAAAATGTGCTTTCAAGTATCATCATGATGTTTTCAATGTTCGTTGAAAACCTTTGAGCTAGTAAACATTCCCCACCCATGCGTCACATGGAGGAATGTATTACATGGAAGAATGTGTTACAGTGGTACCTCGGGTTAAGAACTTAATTCATTCTGGAGGTCCGTTCTTAACCTGAAACTGTTCTTTCTTTCTCTTTCAAAAAAAATATATTCATTTTATAACACAACTAAACAACACAAACAGAAAAACAAACAGTACAAACAGATTATTGTCTTATCCTTATTTTTTCTAAACATTGTTAGGTGAGCTTCCCCAAGTCCCCCCATCTGATTTTCACTTTACCTCATCTTTAGCAGTTTACATATATCACAATTTTAACCATTTTTTATCACACTTTTACCATATTATCACATTTTATCCCTTAGAAATAATACTATTTTAAAATATACTATCTTCTACTTCTAATCCTACAGCCTATATCCACTTCCAAAAATATTCTAAGATTTAAATATTAGCATAATTTTTCAAATATTCTTTAAACTTCTTCCAATCTTCTTCCACCGTCTCTTCTCTCTGGTCTCAGAGTCTCGCAGTCAGTTCGGCAAGTTCCATATAGTCTAACCTGAAACTGTTCTTAGCTTTAGCTAATGGGGCCTCCCGCTGCTGCCGCGCCACCGTCGCACAATTTCTGTTCTCATCCTGAAGCAAAGTTCTTAACCCGAGGTACTATTTCTGGGTTAGTGGAGTCTGTAACCTGAAGCGTCTGTGTCAGGGAACTGCCATCAGTGCCGGAGGGAGAGAGCAAAAGCCAGAGGGATTCCAGAGAGCGTCCAGGGATCGGGAGGAGCAGTCCATCTTCTGGGGAAGAGAATCAGCGTAGCACCAGTGGAGAAGGGGGGCAGCTGGGGGAAGTGGCGAGGCGGTCTCATGACTCCTTGCCTGGGACCAGCGGGGAGAGTAGGGGTCCTCTGTTGCCCACGCCCTCCCTGCGCAGAAGGCTTCCGCGCAGAGAGGGTAGGCGGAGACTAGGCGTCAAAGAACTTCTTTGCTGGAAGAAGTTTAAGAAACGCCCACTCACGGAGGCTGCCAGCGATTGAGTCAGCCACGGGTGAGTGGCTGTCCAGACAGAAAAAGGTTCACTTTGGCAACCCAGCCAGGTGTTTGCACCCAGCCGGGGAGATAGGCACCTGCTTACGCACGAGCAAACCCCTAGAACCATTACAGTCTGTAACCTGAAGCATCTGTAACCCGAGGTACCACTGTACTCCCTTGCAACTGTTTTTAGGGCTGCATCCACAGTGGTTTACCACACTGATTGCCACCGCATAAACGTGCTTAGCACATACTGTCCATAAAACACCTGATTTTGCAGCTGCGATAACACTTCCCTTGCGATGAGCAATAAAACATGTACACGGCTGCATGGCGGGGAAAACACTCCCTCCATATATCGCTATTTAGAAAGCAAGGGAAATGACTCCCGATCTCATAACAATTCACACTTTCCAGGGCTGGTCTTCTAGGAAGGATGACGCCCCCATTTTGGAGAGAGGCCCAAACAATTTAATTCCCATTATGCTGAACCTTGATTGTTACGGCCATTATTGTTTTAAGCAAAGCACTCTTGAGGAAGGTAACGTAGGGGAAATATATTCATCATCTTCGGAGAGGGAAAGAGATGAACTGATATGAAGGGCTGGGTTAAGGAAGAAAGGTCCAGCTTCCAGTTCTGGATGTTGTTGGGGATCCACAGTTGTGTTACAAATTTCATACCCTCCAAGATTTCTCTGAAGAAAATAGGGACACCCTATTCTTCTTCTTCTTATTATTATTATTATTAATCGTATAACTCCACATCTTTCAACATTTCTCCTATGAAACGTCCTAAGGAAAAGCGGGACATTCTGTGATCAAATCAGAAACTGGGATGACTTCTGTAAATCCAGGACTTGTGGGATGTGATACATGTGCAGCAGTCAAATACAACATTCCTTGTTTTCCTAGAGTGGACATGCAAGGGGATGTTTGGTCCAGCCGGTCAGAACTTCCTGTTTCCTCCTGGGCTGGGACATACTTCCTTTGGGCATGACCTTACCTGTTCAGGTAACAAAAGCACAAGGCGCGCAGCACACTCTCTCTTTTTGACTTCCTCCGTCATTGAAGCAGCTTTTAGCTTTTAGCTAGAGATGCTCTGCTTGCTTCCAGCCAACAGAGGACACTGGGATTATCCCCATATGGGATAGCTCCACATGTATATACTTTGTAACTAAGTCTGCCTTCAGGGATCCAACTGTGAACTGATGATGTGAGTAAACTTCTTTTATTGACTTTAAATAAGATTGTGGCATGTTTATTCTTTTAAGAGGGATATAACGGATCTTACCAGGAACCAACAGTGAGAGGCTTACACAAGCCTGCAACAAGCCTGAGAGCCAGTGTAGTGGTTAAGAGCAGTAGATTCGTAATCTGGTGAACCGGGTTCGCGTCTCTGCTCCTCCACATGCAGCTGCTGGGTGACCTTGGGCTAGTCACACTTCTCTGAAGTCTCTCAGCCCCACTCACCTCACAGAGTGTTTGTTGTGGGGGAGGAAGGGAAAGGAGAATGTTAGCCGCTTTGAGACTCCTTCGGGTAGTGATGAAGCAGGATATCAAATCCAAACTCTTCATCTTCTTCAACCAGCTACCTGCTGAGCGTTTAAAAGGGGAGTGTAAAACTCTGCTAAGTAAAGGAACTTGCTAGCACAAGTTAGGAAGGATATTAATAAACAATTTATCCTCTCCTGCCTCCCTGAACATTCCCACAGGGCAGTCCCTGGAAAATAGGGACACTTGGAGGTTCTGACATTATACAGATGGGGTGGCTGCCCAGCCAGGCTTCTGCATGGGCTTCTCATTAATGGTGTTGCAGGAGACACTGATGTGCAGCTGGTCATCCCAGCAATGCAAGCCACATCCAAACAGGAATCTGACATCCATAGCTGAAAGCAGTAATTTTGGATTAAGCTGGTGGTGGCAGGCAGCTAAGGGTGTATTCAGACACATGGAAAATATTGCATTAGTTTTCGAATGTTCCTTTCACACTGCAGTTCCTGCTGTGTTGTGCAATGCTTGCTCTGTGTTCGACATACCACAGTGTTGCGCTAAATTTCATTCCTACCAGTGGGCGTGGTGTGGACATGTGTCATCAGACATTACCACTGCCCCACCTTCCTGATGCCCAATGAAAACAGCAGGAAAGAACTGTCTGGTGGTATGCCATCCCAAATTTTGTCACTTTACTCCCACAATTTTCCAGTTAAGGGAGCTGCAAGCATGCTTTTCTTTCCTGGAACCAAATAACATGGAAGCGAGTACTAAACATGCACTTATATTCCATTAATTTCACAGAAGTGGCTTTTCACATCGTGTGAAAGCTCAGATATCATGTGGAAATTAAAAATGGGGGAAATGTAAGGGAAATTGAATAAACTTCTGTGTGAATGCAGCCTTAAAAAACCCCAGAAGCAATGCAACTTTGGAGGCAGCCCGGCTGTCCGCTTTTTCTGCAGCTTTATCACATTACTCAATATGCACATTTAAAAATTAACAGGCCATTTATTTTGTCCCTTTGCTGATTTATCCACTGTTAAAAATGTAAGCTGTAAATTCTTTGGAATAAGGAACCTGGATTTTTTTAAAAAAATGTTAGTCTGTCAAGAACCATGTATACTGATGGCACTACACTGGTACCTCTGGTTACGAACTTAATACGTTCCGGAGGTTGGTTCTTAACCCGAAACCGTTCTTAACATGAGGTGCGCTTTTGCTAATGGGGCCTCCCGCTGCCGCTGCACGATTTCTGTTCTCATCCTGGGGCAAAGTTTGCAACCAGGCGCATCTACTTCCGGGTTAGCAGAGCTCATTACCCGAAGCGTTCGTAAGAAGGACGGTACATAACCCAAGGTTCCACTGAATCCAAGCAAAAAGGAATATTGAATGGAGCGCAAAACTCTTCAGCATGCTTTCTTTCAAAGAAAAGCCTATGTGTGGATAAACGTCACAAGGCAGCTGGAGTCTGGAGTTTCCTGTTGCCATTCTGTTCTTGCCTTAAGGGAGGGAATAAAGCTCTGGTCTAGCTTCCTGGCACCTCTACAACGCAGGTCAATGCAATTTTCACCCTTCGAGACAAATCCAGCTGGCCCATTGAGTATGTGATGGCCCCAGCGCTGGAGCAAGCTGATTGGGCGCCTGAGGAACCAGGGGCAGGGCCAGCCAGGGCCTCTGAGGAGTCTGCCTGCCTCCTCCCACTCAGCCGCCCTACAGCTGAGGGGGAGGCAGCGGGCAGACCATTTGGGGCAGCGCAGAGCCTACAGATGCCCAAGGAGAGATGTGTGGCTCGGGTGCACTGCAGGCCCCGCGGTGTGTGCTGCCCGTCGTTTTGTCACCCCCCTCAGTGGTGACACCCAGGATGGTCTGCCCCCACCGCATGCCCACTTCCTCCACCCCTGGATGGCCCACCAAGATCTCAACAAGCCTCCTGGTTTCCTTCTCCTAGTGAGATTGTCAAGCACATAGAATCATAGAATTGTAGTGTTGGGAGAACACAGGTAAGGGCTTTATGGCAAAGCTGGAGGAAAGATCTTGAGGCCTTGTCCTCCCAAGCCATTTTGATAGGTGGGCAGCTCTGCTCGCCGGTCAATCAGGCGACCCAACTTGAAAGGAAATAATTGGGAGTGCACGCCAATCTCCCCCCAGTTCTTTTCTTTCTTCCTTTGCAGTGCAGCTTCAGCCCAAGGTGGGCTGCAAAGGAGAGATCTCTGCCGAAAGCAGGAGTTGGCTGCACTGCAGAGTTCGCAGCCGGCTGCCTGCCTGTCTGTCTGGCTGGCTGATAGGAACTGAAATCCTGCCACATCTGGAAGGCTTCTGGTCCTCCTTGCTTGCCAGTGGTGGCTAATTCTAATTGCAGCTGGTAGAGTAGAAGGAAAGGCGCCCCAACAGGAGACAAAGCCAGAGCCAAAGACAGGTGGAACCAACTGATTCCAGACCCTCCAAGTGCCCTTATTTTCCAGGGCCAGTCCCAGATTTACAGAAGCCGTCCCGGTTTCTGATTTGATCCCGTAATGTCATTTTCATCGGAGAAATGTTTGAGGGCATGTGACCCCCGAGCCAATTTAAATGCCTCCATTATTTGATAATAATGAAGCCAGTCTCGCACTTTGTTTTTTAGTTTTTCAAAACTCTGCAATTTCAGTCTATCTCCGTCTTGTTCCAAAATTTCCCAATATTTCGGCCATTTGACCTCCATATTGACCCTTTTCAAAGCTTTCGCTTCCATTGGTGACAGCCACCTTGGGGTTTTATTTTCTAACAAATCCTTATATCTTATCCAAACATTAAATAGCGCTTTCCTGACAATATGGTTTTTAAATACTTTGTGTGCTTTGACCTTATCATACCATAAATATGCATGCCATCCAAATACATTATTGAAACCCTCCAAGTCCAAAATGTCTGTGTTTTCAAGAAGTAGCCATTCTTTCAACCAGCAGAAAGCTGCTGATTCATAATAAAGTTTGAGGTCTGGCAGGGCAAATCCACCTCTTTCCTTTGCATCTGTTAGTATTTTAAATTTTATTCTGGGTTTCTTGCCCTGCCAGACAAATTTAGAGATATATTTCTGCCACCTCTTGAAACAGTCCATTTTGTCCACTGGTGTGCTTTCGAACTGCTAGGTTGGCAGGAGTAGGGACCGAGCAACGGGAGCTCACCCCGTTGCGGGGATTCGAACCGCCGACCTTCTGATCGGCAAGCCCTAGGCTCTGTGGTTTAGACCACAGCGCCACCTGCGTCCCCGCTGTGGAATAGGCATCCCTATTTTCATCAGATAAGTGTTGGAGGATATGCTTATTCCAGGTTTGTCACCATCCTGCTTCCTGAAGGAGGGTATCACTAAGCTAAGGAGGAAGAGGAAGCTGACAGGCAGGCCCACCCCCTGGACTGGGTGCAAATAGGAAGGTGGGGACTTGCTGAGTGGGGCGACTGAAGTTGGTGGTGGGGCAGTGTCCTGATTTGCCCCAGCAGACAAGCCTCCACTGCTTACGGCCCTGGTTGGGCGATGGCGGTCGTGGCGCTCCTGCAGACCTGAGACTGACATGCAGAACGACATGCAGCCCTGACGTTCTCTCTGCTTTCCTCAGGTCATCGAGGGAGATGGCAGGAGATCAGCAGGAGTCCTGCCAAGGACTGCAGGGCTTGGCGAAAGGTTCGGAATCTTCCGAGGCAACTTTTTTCCCCCTGACCTCCTCTCCCCCTTGGCCAAACTCACATACACAGCTCTCCGGTCGGACGGTGGTATTGTTTCGGAGCTTGAAACGGGTCCAATATTTGGCCTTCACTTCCCCTCCGCAGCTCAGGAGACATTCTGTTCTCACACACTCTAATGGCTCTTCTCTAATGAGCACATGAAAATAACAAGAAAAACTAAAGCAATTTGGCTTGGTTTTGAGGAGGTGTGCCGGGGAGCGGGGAATGAGCAGAGAGGAACAAATGCTGAAAAGCCAAGGCCTCTATTTTCCAATGCTGCTGGCCATGACGGGTTTTCTGAAAGCTCACCTTTTCAAAGGGCAAAGTCTGAAGTTTGGCTCTGCAGTGCAGTGATTTGTTTATAATTATATGTTGAGAGTAGAGTTCCTAGGAAGGCCAGATGCACAGATCCTGCTCAAACACCCCTAAGGATAGAGGCAAGGGGAACAGAGGGTGAGGTGGAGAAATGTCCCCACTCAGAATCATAGAACTGAAGAGTTGGAAGGGCACCCCCAGGGTCATCTAGTCCAACCCCCTGCAATGCAGGAATCTCAGAAAGAGCAGCCCCACTCTCAGTGGCGTAGCAAGGTCAGGTGGTACCCGATGCGGAAAATTTCTTGTCACCCAACCCCCACATTGAAATTATTATTTTTTTCTGCCTGCAAAAAATGGTTTGACTTTATTTCATATTTTGGGGGGGAGCCAGAGTTGTTGAGCTTTTGGGGGGGAGCCAGAGTTGTTCAGTGTTATGTACTGAGTTGAATAGGATCCAAAAGGCAGCAGTCTGATTGGTCCTAGAACAATAGGGTCCAGAATGCAGCAGTCTGATTGGTCCTAGAACAATGCAGCAGTATGATTGGTCCACAGGAGCCACCCAATCCAGCTCCAGGTGGAAGTGAATCCGCAACCTGATTGGCCTACCGAAGAATCCCAGAATTAGCCAATCACATGCAGCCCATTGTGTAAATAATGTATATAAAGCAGATACTTTGGGGGAACTTTCATTCCTCGCTACTATGAGCTGAATAAAGAGCATGAAATCCACTCTCAACTCCGAGTATATTTCACTGGCTATGAAGGTGGGATCCCGCTGAGCTGACTGCCACATACACCGCCACCTGCCGCACCGCTGCCTCGCACCGTGTATCCAAGCTTCAGCTCCGAGTATATTTCATTCAGCTTTTTTTGAAGCGATCCCGTGCCCTGCAACAAGGACTCTGCTTGCTGCTCACCAATTCCTGGACACCAGAACCACCTACCCACAATACCCCATCTTGTCAGGATTCCGTCTCAGGTCATTGCAAAATATCACTGAATGTTCAGAAGAACATTGGTTCAGAGGAGGAATGAGTTCAGAGGAGGGACGTGATCAAACTCTTCAAATACCCAAAGCAGGGATGGGAGACACTGTTGAGCTTGAGATGTTGAGGGACTCCCAACTCCCATCAGCCTCAGCCAACAGAGCCAAGGGCCAAGGATTATGAGGGCTGCAGTCTGACCACACCTAGAGAGCCACAGGTGTCCTATCCCCGACTGTTATGTACTGAGTTGAATAGGATCCAAAATGCAGCAGTCTGGTTGGTCCTAGAACAATAGGATTCAGAATGCAGCAGTCTGATTAGCCCTAGAACAATAGGATTCAGAATGCAGCAGTCTGATTGGTCCTAGAACAATAGGACCCTGAATGCAGCAGTCTGGTTAGTCCACAGGAGCCACCCAATCCAGCTCCAGGTGGAAGTGAATCCGCAACCTGATTGGTCTACAGGTGAATCCCGGAATTAGCCAATCAGAAGATCCCTTTGAGGAAGGGTCACAGCTCAGTGGCAGAATATCCGCCTCTCCTGGTATGTCCCACAGAGGAACTTATGGTCTTCAAACAAAAATATCCTGAAGGTCCCAGTCCACAGAGAGGTTAGGCTGGCCTCAACTAGAGCCAGGGCTTTTCGGCTGTGGCTCCAATCTGGTGGAACGCTCTGTCACAAGAGACTAGGGCCCTGCGGGACTTGACATCTTTCTGCAGGGACTGCAAGACAGAGCTGTTCCACCAGGCCTTTGGTCAGGGCACAGCCTGACTCCCTCCTTTGGCAATCTTCACAGAACTTTAGCCTAATGGTTGCCATCAATTTGATTTGAATTAATTTTATAATGAAATGATTTTAGAATGTTGTCCTATTTTATTGTTGTTAGCCGCCCTGAGCCCGGCTTCGGCTGAGGAGGGTGGGATGGAAATAAAATTTATTATTATTATTATTATTATTATTATTATTATTATTATTTCAAGCAGAAGGCTCAGGGTTCAATTCACAGTATCTACCAGCTTCCTATCTTTTTTAAGATGAGTATGTCACAATTAAGAGGAGGGAGAAGCAAAGAAAACGCTGTTCCCTTCGCTGAAACACAGCCCTTTGGTGACTAACTGCTTTGGCCTGTGAAGGAAAGAGGATTCTTTCTGTTCCCTGATAGCAACTATGGTTACGGGGAAACGTGAAGGGAAATGTATCCGCCAAGCCTCTGAAGGGGAAATCGACCAAAGGAATTGATCTTTCCCACCCATCCCCAACCCCAGGGCAACTGCGAAGAACACGTGCAAAAAAACAAATCCCACCCAGAACCAGATTCCTATGTGGAAAGCTGACAGAACCTGCAGAACAGCTTTCCATATAGCCGTCATATGCATGCCATTGCACCTCTCCCACCAAGCAGAGGCGAGTGCCAAGACTGTTAGAAGATTTACTGCGAGGTCTTCAAACTTTGCTTCCACAAATCAGGCACCTAACTGCTGGGGCTGCAACAGTTTTGCAGATTATTCAGCGAGATGAGTCAATTAAAAAAAAAAAAAAACCACAGCTTTCAACTGATTTAAGCAGGTGGGCCCACAATGAATCTGGCAGCAGGGTTTTTTGAATTGTTAATTATTTTAATAACATACAAAAATGCAGCTGGCAGGTGCCGTCTTAAAAAGAAAAACAAGAAAAGGTTTCCTTCTTCTCTCACTATGCAGGAAAGGTGATGTAGCCCTTGGGAGCACCAAAACAAACAAAAAAAAGTAGATTATCCTGTGGGCCTGGGAAGCTAATGTCCTCTTTTTATTTTATTTTTTAAATGATATTTATTAAGGTTTCCAATAAAAAAAACACATCAATAAAAGATTAAACATAAAAACATAAAAAGGAAATACACAATTCAAAAATACACAATACATAATCCAAAAAAGAACAAAAAACAAAAGACAAAAAAGAAAAAAAACAGTTAAAAACAATATCACCTTTTCATCTCCATTTTTAAATTTACTTATTTTCTGGACCTCCTCATACCTCCCTCTTTTGTATTCCAGTTCAAATTGTTTGTCCAGCAATTTCTTTCCCTCTTTTTAATCCCAATCTTTAATATAAATATAATATAACATTAAAATTTTACCTCTTAAAAACCAAGTTTCCATTTCCTTAAACTTTTTTAATCCTAATCCTTAATCTTAATCTATATATAACTTTAAATCCTGTACAGCTGGAAGCCACTTATTTTCAATCCAATATCACTCTAACATTCTTTAATTTTGCAATGTTTCTGCAGATAGTCTTTGAATTTCTTCCAATCTTCCTCCACCGACTCTTCTCCCTGGTCACGGATTCTGCCAGTCATTTCCGCTAGTTCCATATAGTCCATCAATTTCATCTGCCATTCCTAGGTGTGGGGAGCTCTTGTGTCTTCCAATACTTTGCAATAAGTATTCTTGCTGCTGTTGTTGCGTACATAAAGAAAGTTCTATCCTTTTTTAACACTATTTGGCCGACTATGCCTAGGAGAAAGGCCTCTGGTTTCTTGGGGAAGGTATATTTGAATACCTTTTTTAATTCATTATATATCATTTCCCAGAAAGCCTTAATCTTTGGGCACGTCCACCAAAGGTGAAAAATGTACCTTCAGTTTCTTTACATTTCCAACATTTATTATCGGGCAAATGATAGATTTTTGCAAGCTTGACTGGAGTTATGTACCACCTGTATATCATTTTCATAATATTCTCTCTTAAGGCATTACATGCCGTAAATTTCATACCTGTGGTCCATAACTGTTCCCAGTCAGCGAACATAATGTTATGTCCAATGTCTTGTGCCCATTTAATCATAGCCGATTTTACCGTTTCATCCTTAGTGTTCCATTTCAGCAGCAAGTTATACATTCTTGACAAATTCTTAGTTTTGGGTTCTAACAGTTCAGTTTCTAATTTTGATTTTTCCACCTGGAAGCCAATTTTCTTGTCCAATTTAAATGCCTCCATTATCTGAAAATAATGAAGCCAGTCTCGCACTTTGTTTTTAGTTTTTCAAAACTCTGCAATTTCAGTCTATCTCCATCTTGTTCCAAAATTTCCCAATATTTCGGCCATTTGACCTCCATATTGAGCTTTTTCAAGGCTTTCGCTTCCATTGGTGACAGCCACCTTGGGGTTTTATTTTCTAATAGATCCTTATATCTTATCCAAACATTAAACAGCGCTTTCCTGACAATATGATTTTTAAATGCTTTATGTGCTTTGACCTTATCATACCACAGATATGCATGCCATCCAAATACATTGTTAAAACCTTCTAGATCCAAAATGTCAGTGTTTTCAAGAAGCAGCCATTCTTTCAACCAGCAAAAAGCTGCTGACTCATAATAAAGTTTGAGGTCTGGCAGGGCAAATCCACCTCTTTCCTTTGTATCCGTTAATATTTTAAATTTTATTCTGGGCTTCTTGCCCTGCCAGACAAATCTAGAAATATCTTTCTGCCACCTCTTGAAACAATCCATTTTGTCCACAATTTGCAAAGTTTGAAACAAAAACAACATTCTAGGCAATACATTCATTTTTATCGCAGCAATACGGCCCAGCAGTGAAAGCTTCAAATTTGACCAAATTTCTAAATCTTTTTTCACTTCAGCCCAACATTTTTCATAATTATCTTTAAATAAATTCCCATTTTTTGCTGTCATGTTGATCCCCAGGTATTTCACTTTCTTAACCACAGTCAAACCTGTCTCATTCT